ATGTTGTTCCAAGTTGTTACAGTTGAACAATGCTGTAACAACATGTTGACAATACTGTTCATAGTGGGCCGCACAACCTTGTTCACGCCTGTTGATATCAACCTGGAACAAGTTGTTGATTTTCTCAATTTTACGCGTGTTGACAACCTCAGCACTGCAACTAGATGAAAAACCGCTGAGCGAAGACTTCGACAACATTGAAGGTGATGTGTATGTTCAACCATAAATGAAACTAAAGCAAAGAACGGTTTTCTATGTATTTCTTTTTGGAATGATGTTATTTCATTTCTATATTTAGCCCTTGCAAGTGACGTCAAAACACGTAAAGCCGGATACAGAGGGAATTTTTTCCTTGACAAATTTTCCTTGCCAACTGACAATATTTCCTTGGCAGGAAGTCTTAATCCAAAGCTAATCATGCGAGCTTTTGGACAAGGAAAATTTGTTCGTGTGTTTACGCCAGCCAAGGAAATCTTGACGAGTGTGCAAGAAATAGTGCATGCCATGGTTTTGGCCTACAAAATGTGACCTTGACCTGAGATAAATGTTTAAGAGGAGATTTTTTTGTATGTTACGTAACACGCGCTCAAAACTAATGCGTATAATATACCACTTGAGGTTATGACTAAATTCAAAATTTTTATTTTTCGATACGTTTCTCAATCGGCAAACAAACTTAAAAAGTATGTTTAATGCTTTATCTGTAAAATAATGCTAAAATGAAGAGATTTTAGATGATAACACGCCAAAGAGAAAATGATGTCTGAAGTTCAGTAAGTTTTGCTTATATGGCTTAAATATGGCGTCAATTTTAAAGCATCATTGATAATTGTATTTTAATTGACAATTTTTAACTATTATTTTATGTTTCTCAACCGGCAGATGCATTTAAAAAGGTTGCTAACTCTATAAACTAGAGAATAAAGCTAAAACAAAGTAATTGTGAGAGGAACGCCAAAAAGATTTTAGGTTTTGAACACTTTTAATTGCAAATACGTAACATTGAAAAAAATTGCCTCTTAACAACATCCCGACATAAGAAGCGAAACTTGTCAAAATTTTCTTGAATATTACCTTCACTGAAAGTTTCCGGAGACAAATCTTGTTTTCCTCGAGCAGCGTTCCTTGAAATGACTAAATTTTCTTCACGTTTTACCGTCACAAGTTTTTCGTGACAAGTTTTTTTTTTACCGAAAACACTTGGAGGAACAAGTGGTTCCCTTGTTTACTTAATACCTACGTTAATAACACTAACAAGTAACATGTGAAACGGTATTATACTTATTCGCATGGGGATTGAAAAAAAACAAGAATAATATTTATCAAATACTGTACATAATTATTAACATTCATAAAACATGATGTTCATCCGACGCAAACTTCGAAAGCCTGCTTTGTAGTACCGTCAGAAAGCTGCGAAAATATGTTTATGTTAATTCTTTATTTTCAAGAATTAATATATGAAAAAAATATATCTGGGAATAACTTTTTAAGAACTGCTATAGCTTTCAAAATTTCAGTAACGGTGAACTTCTGAAAACTGCGGAAACGTATGTACAACGAGAAAATGTAGGATAATATATGCACTCGTTGAGAGAAAGCGCATGGAAGCGGAAGACATGTCAATACAATACTTCCATATAAAAAACCGTGACTGATGGGCAAAGCCACAGCGGCCGCTTTAATTCCAGACATATCAAATTTCCTCGCACGATTTTATTTGCGCGTATCATTACGTTCAATCAGCTAACATTCTGTCGACTCGCGCGTCGCAAGTGTTGCCGCAATCTCCGTATTTGATCAAAGATGGCTATACGAATACATCTCCCGTTCTACAAGGCGACACGTTTGATTCTTCCGTCCGCTCTCATGATCGCCGGTTTGACGATATTTCTTTGTGGTTTGGTGCGAACATATCATATTGATGAAGTCCTCACCAAAAATGCCCACGAAGAAAAGATGCTCCAATCACAAAATGAATACATGGAGTGGTGGCTTGGTTTGCCGGTAAGACATTCTTCTCACTTGTGTTTACAAACGTTGTTAACTCTTTCAAAAGTTGTACATCTCTGGCGCGTCTGCTAAGAGTTCGTGTGCTTGTAAATGTAATAACTCGTACATCTTTGATAGCAGTGTGGTAGTTTTATACATGAGCGTCACTATATATTGTGTTTCTGTACAGTCAATAGATAGACGTATGGTGGGATGTGTTCTTCCTAAAATAAACATCGTAAAATGTGCTAAAATCAATAAAATTGGCGTGTTTAGTCAATTGATGGACAAACAATGAATAGTCTACCCAATTTCCGGTGTCTGTAATACTTCAAAAATATTTCCTATAACAATGGCACTTCCCTCTTTACAACTCACGGTAACTAGACCACATCAATAAATGTGTTTGATATTTTAGCCATATTGAAGCTTGGTAACTGATCATGAGGTGAACACATATATGACTATGTAAGATTAATAAAAATGTGTATAAATATATGTCCAAATCCTAGCAAACATCGATTTATTGCTTTTGTAGTTAACGACGTGTTCAATTCTGGCCGTGTGTGCCGTGCTGTATGATCGACCATTGGGGGTGAGTGACACAGTTCAGCCTTTAGACTTGGATCAAGTTAAAAACAAACTTAACAAACGCGTTATCGCACCTCGCGCGTCGCCTGGTGGCGCGCTCGCACTCTAGAGAGACGGGACTTGATCCATTCCGTCTTTTGAATGATGGTTTTTAATGCGCATTACAACCCTTTTATTGAAAAAAACTAACTAGGAAATCAGTTAAGCATAATTCAAGTTCAGTGAACGCAATGTTTTTTTAACATTAAAAGTTTAAATCTTTTTAAATTTTATATAAATACTAATACCTCAACAAATACACTCTAAATCATATACACAAAACGAAATGCTGTGCTTTTATTTCTTCATTTATTTCATAAGAAACTTTTAAATGGATTTAAAATTTTCCGTGCGTGAACGTACGCAGGAAAAACGCTCAACTGGAAATGAAAACGTTAACTTGCAATGGAGAGTAATGGATCTGCGAGCTCACTTTTCCATCTCATTAAGCTGTGTTCGCTTTCCGTGTGCCCAAGGCATAGTCACAGAGACAAACACACTGACTCAGTGTTAAAAGACACACTGACTCAGTTCAAAACTTACAATTTACGCATGCAAAATTCCTACTGTGATCACTGAAACTTTGTTAGTGTCAACCAGGCTCATTTTTAAATTGTTTTTTCCAGTTCAAGATTTCTGTGTTAGCAATTGGCACATGTTTTGTGATACTGGTGTATGGAGTATTATGGGATGCTGCTGAATTCTCGTGGATTGCATATCAATATCAAGCCATCCAAAGTTTAAAAAGTGAAGGTTTCGATTGCTGGACCAAAATGCATAATTTTACTTACAACGGACATGCGTACACTGTACAAGAATGTCGTTGCAGAAGAAATAAGGAAATGAGTAAGTATAGTATATATGTCTTTCAACATGTCATGTACTCAACCTCTCTCTTATTCAAACACTTTCAGAAATTATTGGGGCTACTCTGCCCTGCTAGTAGACTTTCGCAAAGGAATTAGGACTTTTAGGAATTAGGATTTACTCAAATTACATCGCAGCAAAAGCTGAATTACGTAATAGTTACAAAATATTACGTATTAAAATGTCGCATCTATTTACATTAAAAATATTTAAAATTACAGCTACAATATTCAACATGACTTATTGAACTTATTGCACATGGCAGAGATAAGTTTTTAGTCCTATTAGTTTTAATAAGAGGAATATTAAAATTGTTTTCGTTTCCTAAAAAGTGGCCTGAATTGTGACTTTCAGGTAGCAAATGACAAATCTTATGATTTGTATTGAGCTTTCGTATCATATCAATCTAAGGATAAGTTTGGAGAAAGCAACTCTCTCAAATGGCTACAAATACCGTTTCAGAGGGTTTAAATTTCAGAATCTTCACCCCTCAGATCCCCCCCTCCCCCCTCAGGCAAAAGGTACCTTCGGCACCACAGAGTCACCCACTTCTCTCCTGGCCTGCCCAGCTAATGCACCCAAGTCATGCGTTAGAAAGTGTGTTCACATTTCGATATAAATATTCCCCATTTTGTTTTGCAGGTTTTGGTGTGTACGTTCCATTCTCGTGTGAACTGCTACGATCTCAATATTTGCTACATGCAGTCCTGGGTTTTGCTCTCGCTTGTGCCTTGGGATTGAGTTTGTTTACGTTGTTTTCCTTTGTTTTGATTCTCAAGAGGATTTCCCAAGTAAGTTGCACAGTTGAAAAATACAATACCATCAAAACACCCTCGCCAGTAAATACATACAGAACTCTCACTTCTGTTGGAAAACCGTAAGGTAGTTTTTACTGCGCATATCGGACGGCCATGTTCTTAGCGAGTGCCCTAAAGAGAGGCATCCCCCCCTGGAACATTAAATTTAAATATGTTTTCAGGGGGGTGATGGTCTCTTTAGGGCACTTGCTAAGAACATGATGGACTGAAAAAATCCCTTACGCTAAATGAACCTGAAATGAGACTTCTCTGTGGCCACACAGCTTCACTCCGACATTTTCTTCTCACTTAGATAACCACAGCACTACATCTAGATGAAAAACCGCTGAGCGAAGACTTCGACAACATTCAAGGAGATTTGTATGTTCAACCATAAATGAAACTAAAGCAAAGAACGGTTTTCTATGAATTTCTTTGTATTCATATCACGCAATAGATAAGAACTTTTTGGAATGATGTTATTTCATTTCTATATTTAGCGCTTGCAAGTGACATCACAACACGTAAAGCCGGATACAGACGAGAAATTTTTCCTTGACATATTTTCCTTGACAAATTTTATTTGCTCGTGAGTACAGCAAAAAATTGTATTAAACAATATTTGCTTGCCAAGGAGTCTTGTTGCAAAGCTAGTCATGCCAGGTCTTGGGCAAGGATAATTTGTTCGTGTGTATACGCCCGCCAAGGAAAACTTGACAAATGTACAAGAATTACTGCCATGGTTTTGGCCAACAAAATGTGACCTTGACGTGAAATAAATGTCAACACGAGAAACAGGGTTCGTACAAAACTTGAAAGTCCTTGAATGTCCTTGAATTTGAAAACAAAAATTCAAGGTCTTGAATGTCCTTGAATTTGTAAAGAAGTAGTTGAATGTCCTTGAATTCTTCTTGCTTTAGTTTTTGGATATTTTCTGAAATTGTTTGACATTCAAGACGGACATTTTGTTGAACTGATTTTGCATGTTCATATCTGACCTCATTATAAAGTTACGTTTTGAACAATTCAAGTCAGATTTTGCTGATTTCTAACGCCTTTTTCTTCAGTATTTAGTCCTTGAATTTGCTGATACATGGCCTTGAATGTCTTTGAAAAGTCCTTGAATTTGACTCTTTCTGTCATGTACGAACCCTGGTGAGATAAATGTTTAACAAAATCCCGTGCCAACACGAGAAAGGAAACTTGTTAAGGGAACTTGTCAAATTTTTGTTGAAAATCACCTTCACTGAAAGTTTCTGGAGATAAGTCTTGTTTTCCTTGAGCAGCGTTCTTTGGAATGATTCCATTTTTTTCACGTTTTTATCGTCACAAGTTTTTCGTGACAAGTTTTTTTTGACCGAAAACACTTGAAGAAAAGTGGTTCCCCGAACCGTTCCCGTGTTTACTTCGAATGTGGATAACATTAACATGTCAAGCGCTATTATACTTATTCACATGGGGATTGAAAAAAAACAAGAATAATATTTATCAAATACTGTACATAATTATTAACATTCATAAAACGTAATGTTCATCCTACGCAAACTTCGAAAGTCTGCTTAGTAGTACAGTCAGAAAGCTGCGAAAATTATGTTAATTCTTATTTTCAAGAATTAATATATGAAAAGAATATATATGGGAATAACTTTTTAAGAACTGCTATTGTTTTCAAAATTTCAGTAACGGCGAACTTTTGAAAAGTAAGGATACATATGAAAAAGGAAAATGTAAGATAATATATGCTTAGAATACGTGACTGATGGGCAGAGCCGCGGCAGCCGCTTTAATTCCAGTCATATCAAATTTCCTCGCACGATTTATTTGCGCATATCATACGTTCAATGCTAAGATTCTGTCGACTCGCGCGTCGCAAGTGTTGCCGCAATCTCCGTGTTTGATCAAAGATGGCTAAACGAATACATCTTCCCTACCACAAGGCCACACGTTTAATTCTCCCGTGCGGTCTCATGATCGCTGGTTTGACGATATTTCTTTGTGGTTTGGTGCGAACATATCATATTGATGAAGTCCTCACCAAAACTGTCCACGAAAAAAAGATGCTCCAATCAGTGAATGAACACATGGAGTGGTGGGTTGGTTTCCCGGTAAGACATTCTTCTCACTTGTGTTTACAAACGTTGTTTTAACTCTTCCAAAATTTGTACATCTCTTTCGCGTCTGCTAAGACTTCGTGCGCTGTAATATAATATTGCATTTCACGAGTTTGGCGCTAGAAGTGAAAATGTGAAATTCTGAAATTGTTGTCAAAATTTAGAGATTTATATATACTGCTTATAAATCCTTATCTAATTGCTGTACTGATATACTCCTAGTGATTTTTAAGATTTTTTTTTTTTCGGTGTTGATTTCATAACTAAATTTTAGTGTATGCCATATGATTCGCTAGACTACTTGTACATCAGAGCTGGTACTATTATACATGAGCGTCACTGTGTATTGTGTTTTTTTACAGTAAATAGACAAACATATTGTGGGATGTGTTCTTCCTAAAATAAACATTGTAAAATGTGCTTAAAATCATTAAAATGGCGTGTTTGGTCAATTGATGGACAAAAAACAATGAATAGTATACCCAATTTCCTGTGTCCGTGATACTACCAAAAGGTTTCAAATAACAATGACATTTCCCTCTTTAAAACTCACGGTAACTAGAAACCACCTATCAATAAATGATATTTTAGCCCCATATTAAACTTTTGTAATTGATCATGAGATGAGTACATATATATGACCATATAAGATTAATAAAAATAGGTGTGTAAAATATGTATAAAGATAGCAGGCTAGTATAAAGATGTCCAAATCTTAGCAAACATTGATTTATTGTTTTTGTAGTTAATCGCGTGTTCAATCCTGGCAGTGTGTGCCGTGCTGTTCGATCGATCATTCCTGGTTAGTGAGTTTTGACTTTGAAATAATGAAGAGTGGTTGAATTGTTTTTTCAAAGCAGCATTATCTGTCAGTAACGCATTATAGGGATCATCTCCTCTAAGGCCGATGTCCAGTTTTAAGCATTTCTCATACGTTCGTATAAGCCGGGAAAAGTTTAATCTTTCTAAATTTTATATAAATACTAATTACCTCGTCACGTAGTCCTACATCGTATAATGTCTGTATTATGTCAAGTACTACGCTTCTATTACCTACTTAGCCAAAACTATTTATCTTTACAACAATTGAGATATTACTTTCCTAAGTATGTTTATCCTAACCCAACCTGTCAACTTTCCCTGTGGGAGGAAACCGGAGCGTACGTCCGGAGAAAACCCACGACTTTCGGCAGAGTGTTGACAGACCCGTTTAGGGACAGGTCATTATTTATGGCGGGGGGTGGCACCGAAGAGAAATGTTTTCCGTGTCAAAAATTTTGCTGACCCAACCATTAAAAAGACAAAAATTTGATTACCCAACCTCAAATATCAATTAAAAAATAACTACCCACCCCTGGCCAAAAACTTAACAAAAGGATACCATTCAGTTGTCATACATGTCCTTTATCACTTCAGTGACATGAGTTTGATAACGGCTGCAGTCTAAAGTTTCATGTTGTCTGCACATGTACTTTCTTTGGAACACAATTTGTTTTGTCAAACTATGATCAAGATAGTGACTCTGATTGATTCACATATTGTATTGACAAATGACTGTTGACATTGCTTTTCAGTCTCCAATATTTCAGTGGGTCATGCTTTGGAAATGACAATAAATTTTTATTACCCAACCCTTGAGTTGTTTTGTTTTTCATTTACCCAACCTTTTACTTACTCAAAATTTTGTTTACCCAACCCTTTTCTCTTCGGTGCCACCCCCCGCCATAAATAATGACCGCTCCCTTAGCCAGTTTTCCACTGCAAGCGTATCGTTAAAACATTTTTACATTTCCAAATCTATTAGTAAATGTTGATTGGTTAATACTTCCGTAGTGCGCAAAAAGTTGACTTTGCGACGAACTTTTCATTTTGATGCGCGAATGGATTTATCAACCTCTTTTCAATCCACGCATGCTCACCAGTACGTTTCGGTAGGGTACGGTTGAAGTGGAAAGCTGGCTTTTCACATGGGTTTGCAGCGAGAAATCGAACACACGATCTCAGAGATCATACGTACATTCATACACACTTTATTTAGCGACGCTAGCCCCGACAACTACAAAAGTTGATTTCCACGGGGGGCGTCCATATAAAAAATGTTACAAAGAATATAAAAAGGAAGGAAACTAAGTCTACTACAATATGTACATTACCAAAAGCTACTGTAATCTACGATGGTGTGTCCCAGATAAATATATGATTAAGTGAATCCCGACTCGGTTGGTTAACATCAAAAATTTTGTTTTATACAACTTTTAAATATATAAATTGATTGAGCTTGCTTAGCTTCAGGAGGAAGGTTATTCCAAAGATTAGCACCGCTATATTTAAAGCTTTTGAGAAATTCTCTGTTTGGCTTTGGAAGGGTCAGACCAGTTTGAGAATTTCTAAAATTATAATTGTTAAGTAAAACATATAAAATACTGTTATAAAGGATGGTTTACACTATCAAAGTTTCTGTGATCACAGTAGGAATTTTGCATAGGTCAATTCTAAGTTTTGAAGGATTTGTAAGAAATGTTTGAGGAAACTTACTGAGTGTTATAAAGGATGGTTTACACTATCAAAGTTTCTGTGATCACAGTAGGAATTTTGCATAGGTAAATTCTAAGTTTTGAAGGATTTGTAAGAAATGTTTGAGGAAACTTACTGAGTGTTATAAAGGATGGTTTACACTATCAAAGTTTCTGTGATCACAGTAGGAATTTTGCATAGGTAAATTCTAAGTTTTGAAAGATTTGTAAGAAATGTTTGAGGAAACTTACTGAGTGTTATAAAGGATGGTTTACACTATCAAAGTTTCTGTGATCACAGTAGGAATTTTGCAAAAGTAAATTCTAAGTTTTGAAGGATTTGTAAGAAATGTTTAAGGGAACTGACTCCGTCTTATAAAGGATGGTTTACACTATCAAAGTTTCTGTGATCACAGTAGGAATTTTGCAAAAGTAAATTCTAAGTTTTGAAGGATTTGTAAGAAATGTTTAAGGGAACTGACTCCGTCTTAAGTCCGTTCCTTCGAACATATATTACAAATCCTTCAAAATTAGAATTTACCTAAGTTTTCTCATGTTTTTGTTTTTCCAGTTTAAGATTTCTGTGCTGGCAATCGGCACATGTTTTGTGATACTGGTGTATGGTATACTATGGGATGCTGGTGAATTCTCGTGGATTGCATATCATTATCATTACGTCCAAAGTTTAAAAAGTGAAGGTTTCGATTGCGCGACCAAAATACATAATTTTACTTACAGTGGACATATGTACACTATACAAGAATGTGAATGCAGAAAAAATAAGGAAATAAGTAAGTATAGTATGTCTGTCTTTCGCAATGTCACACAACCTCTTTTCAAACGCTTTGAAAAATTATTGCGGCTACCCTGCTAGACGTTTGCAAAGTTTTCTTTTTTGAGGAGAACAGAGGGGAGAGGGAACCAGAGCTGAGGGGGAGGGGGGAGGAGAACGACTTCTCCCCCTCCTCCTATTTTCGTCGCTCGCCTCCTCGCACCTTCGTCGAGAAGCACGCAAGTCGTGCGTTAGAAAGTGTATTCACATTCCGACATGAATATATTCCCCATGTTGTTTTGCAGATTTTGATTTGTTCATCATGTACTCATGTGAACTGCTACGATCTCAATATTATCTACATGCAGTCCTGGGTTTTGCTCTCGCTTGTGCCTTTGGATTGAGTTTGTTTACGTTGTTTTCCTTTGTTTTGATTCTCAAGAGGATTTCCCAAGTAAGTTGCACAGTTGAAAAATACAATACCGACAAAACCTGCACCCTCGCCACAGAGTAAGTACATACAGAACTCTCACGTCTGCGGGAAAACCGTAAGGTAGTTTTTACTACGCATATATGGCGGCCAAGTGCCCTAAACAGAGGCATTCACCCCCCTGGAACATTAAATTTCAATATGTTTTCAGGGGGTGACAGCCTCTCTTTAGGGCGCTGGCTAAGAACATGGCAAACTGAAAAAATCCCTTACGCTAAATGAACGTGAAGTGCGACCTCTGTATGTACTTACTCTGTGGCCTCACAGCTTCACTCTGACATTTTCTTCTCACTTAGATAACCACAGCGCTGCATCTAGATGAAAAACCGCTGAGCGAAGACTTCGACAACATTCATGGAGATTTGTATGTTGAATCGTAAATGAAACTTTCTTTTAGCCCGTTTACACTTGCAATCTTCGCTGCGATTTCTAGTGGGGTGTTCTTCTCCTGATGGATGTGAACGAGTAGATGAGTTATGAATGTTCTGAGTATATGAACCATTGATGTACCCTCATCCATTGAACTATAAATAAACTGGAAGGCTAACTGCTATGATGAAGGCCTATGATTTGATGAAGCCAAAATAGTTTTTCTGAGTTATGAGCAGAAATACTTGACCCCAAACGTCGGGCTATATATCAAATTGAAGCTATTAAAAATTGCTATTCGGTGTGGAAATTTCAAGACTTCAGCGAAAAGAAAAATATTTAAAAAATACAAAAACAACTGCAAAACGGCAAATATCGGTAATTATGTTTGTAGTTTTTTAATATTTCCCTTTTAGCTAAAGTCTTGAAATTTCTACACCAAATAGCGTTTTTCAATAGCTTCAATTTGATATATAGCCCAACGTTCAGTGTTGAGTATTTCTGCTCATAACTCAGAAAAACTAAAATGCACTGGCTTCAATTCCCCCCCCCCCCTGAGTTAGCCTTCCAGTTTATTTATAGTTCAATGCCCTCATCTCAACATTCACAACTCATCTACTCGTTCACATCCATCAGAAGAAGAAAATCGCACTAGAAATCGCAGGAAAGTTAGCCTGCGAACAGGCTCTTTGATCAAGGAGAGCCTGTTCGCAGGCTACAGGAAATTTGCAAGTGTAACCGTTTACACTTGCAATTTTCCTGTAGCCTGCGAACAGGCTCTCTTTGATCAAAGAGCCTGTTCGCAGGCTAATTTTCCTGCGATAAAAGAAAGAACTGTTTTCCATGACTTTTATTGCATTCGTCACGTAATAGATAAGAACTTTTTGGAATGATGTTATTTCATTTCTACGTAAAGTCGGATAGAGACGAGCAATTTTTCTTGACAAGTTTTATTTGCTCGTGAGTACAGCAAAAATTTGACAGTATTTCCTTGCCAGGCAGCCTTGCTCCAAAGCTAATCATGCGAGCTTTTGGACAAGGAAAATTTGTTTGTGTGTACGCCCGCCAAGGAAATCTTGACAAGTGTCCAAGAAATACTTCAGGGACCAGTTGTTCAAAGGTAGATTAGCGCTAAGTTAAAATTTAGCCCGTTGTTTTAGTTTGTGTATTTCTGCACTTCTGATTCTTTCAAAACTTCAGAGAAGTAAACTCCTATCGATCTAGATAAGATTTCTGAAGAATCATTTCCAAGTTTATAAACAAGCTGTCATGAAGTTTGCTTTGAATTTTAAGTTAACCTAGGGTTACGCTGGTTGGCTTTCGAACAACCGGCCCCTGTGGTTTTGGCCAATAAAATGCGACCTTGAGATAAATGTTTAAGAGGAAATTTTTTTCAATGTCACGTATTTACAATGAAAAGTGTTCAAAACCTAAAATCTTGTTTGCGTTCCTCTCAGAACCACTTTGTTTTTGCTTTATTCTCTAGTTTATACAGTTAGCTACCTTTTTCAATGCATCTGCCGGTTGAGAAACATAAAATAATAGTTAAAAATTGTCAATTAAAATACAATTATCAATGATGCTTTAAAATTGACGCCATATTTAAGCCATATAAGCAATACTTACTGAACTTCAGATAAAGCACTATAAACATACTTTTTAAGTTTGTTTGCCGATTGAGAAACATATCGAAAAATAAAAATTTTGAATTTAGTCATAACCTCAAGTGGTATATTATACGCATTAGTTTTGAGCGCGTGTTACGTGACATACAAAAAAATCTCCTCTTAACAACATTCTGTACACATGACCAACAAAACTTGTCAAGAAACGACTTGCTCGTCTGTAAGGGGCTTTACAGTATCGACATTTTCTAATTTGACCATTTTTTTGCCGTTCGTAACGCTTGCTGAAACCTGTAACTATATATGGAGAACGTTTGTCCGCTTGACGGAATAATTTGGTAGTTATCCTTGTATCTTAAGCAAGGTGACGCAAAGAATTCTCACACCATTTACCTCAATCTTTTTTACTTTTAGTAAAGTGGGCTATATATTATAAAATTAGAAATTAGATGCTATATTAATATTATGATATTAGGTTATAACCACTAGTCCGAAAATACGTATAAAACCAATAATTATATGTTCTCGAACATTGTAAAAATTGTTTCTCGCAACAAACTAACTTCACTCCGCACTGTGACGTCATGCACCAGTCACGTGATTCCATATTGTTACATTCACAATCGTCCAATCGGCATCTTCGTACGATAGACGCAACTCTTGTTGAACTGCGGCGATATTTTGTGAAATTTCTAAAACAACGTTGGAACATCGCATTTTGACATGATTCATCTTTCATTAACCGTCTCCATTTTTTGCCATAATCCTCATTCTCGCAAAGGAAACATGTTGTTTTTTGTGTCAGGATACGCCCTGAAATGTGTTCAAAATATTTTACTTAGTGACGTGTACAAGGTATAATGTTTCATGAGCCTTCCAGCGATCACGTATTGTGAGTTGGCAGTAGTCATGCATTGCTATTTGTTACGGAGGCTCCTGGTGATTCCTTTCGGATCAAACAGGCTGTAGTGGAACTTTTTGGAGTAAAAAACTATATGCTATTTGCTCTATCTATATGATATTGACCACGCTTTCGTGAACCAAAACACACTCGTGAAACAGGGGCCACGGAACCGGAGGGGGGGGGGGCAATGGGAGCATGTGCCCTCCCACTTTTTCTTTTTTCAAAAGTGAAAAAAGTGCCCTTTTTTCTGACAAAATCGTTTGATTTTGGTCATATACAAAAGTTCCCCTTTTGGCCAATACCCCTTGACTTTTGAAATGCTTCCGCGGCCCCTGCGTGATAATTTATAATCCTTTGTTTTTTTTCCTTCAGGGGACATTTGAAGCTCTAGATTAACAAAATAGAGGTTTGACGAGTGTTCCTACTATGTTTTGACTTAAATAAAATACATGAAGTGTTGGGTCGCGCACTCTCATGCGCTCTACTTTAACTGACCTATATCGTATTTTTCATTGACAATCAACGACATTGGGTTTTCGGCAAGAGTATTGATTCTGACTGTTTTAAACATCTGCCATTTCATCAGCAGGGCTGTAAAAAATCCTAAGGAAAAATTGGAAAAGAAGATTTCATTGTGGCATTTTCGAATAGAGAATATATATTACAGAATTCTCCTGAACATCTAATGAAGAGGTAAATTAACCTTGACACTGTAAAGAACAAAACAACATTGGTTGTCTCCGGTTCCACGATAACGGATTCACTTGGCACCACATGGGCAATAATGCCACTTAGGAGTAATCTCCTCTCAAAAATACCTTTTCCCCTAGGGAATTTTTGTCTCGTGACGTGTTTCCTGAAACGGTTAAATTCCATGTTGTGACTAGAGAATCTAGTATCGTGGAACTGGAGCCCTCCATCTTCCGGTTTCTTGAGCGCCGTGAGCCAATGGGGATTGAAAGGTCTTGAAAGCGAGTTTTATCGAAAAGTTCGCTTTTGTGACAACTAGCACTGAAAAAAATTGTTAATATGATATGTTTTTATTTTGTGTGTGTTATGTTTTATTCGCATAAACTTCCCCAACGTTTACAAAAGGAAGTGTTTTCTTTCCTGTAGTTATTAAAAAGTGCAGGGCATTGTAAACAAAGCAAGATGCGAGATCTCATGCGTTAAGAAGTGACTGGTAGTTCTGCTTCGTTAAACTTATTGCATAAAATCACTCGTGTGTTTCGATACCTGTCCTTTGTTTTCAAAACAATCTCCGTTTACAATGACTGTTAATGTAAACATAACTCTTGCTAGGAACAGTCAAATACTAATACGATCGTAAAGGTATAAGGCCACTTGTTACACTGAGTAGATAACTTTCCGTAGCGACGTGGAAAAACACCTATCCCTACCTTTTATAGAAACGCTATTTTCAGAGGAATTGTTGCAACGGAGAGTGAAAGTCAGAAAGTTGTACATTCCGTATCGGATATAGGTGCTTTTTCGCGCCGCTACGGAAAATTATCCAGTATAGAAGAAACCTAGCCATAGTTTCACTGTCGTGTAACAAACACTAGTTCAAGCTGCACTTATTGGAGTAGGGAAAATTGCGGTGTGAATTATTTTCATGTATATATTTTATGTAGTAATCTTGTATATTAGAACTGATAGAATTTGCTTGTCAATACTGATCACTGATGTTGGCAGTCTTCTGCGCCAATCCAATAAGATCAGTATCTGCACCGAGTTCATTCTCGTTCTGTTAATTTGTATACTGAAAATGGAGTCTTCACTGCAAATACTGTATTAGCGCGGAATAACCTACATGTCATATTTGCGATATTAGATCACAGCAATAGTTTCAAGAATATGTATTTAATTAAACATTCATAGTTACCAGTAATGGTCATGATGATGATGACATAAATCCGTAAAAATCTTTTTCTCGGCATCTTCATGTGACATCGAGTTGTTTCTTCGAGGTTCATATTTTAACGTCCTAGTAGTATTATTGTCTGTATCTCGTCCGTAGCTCAGCGACCTGCTATACAATCAAGTATTTGCTTATACGAGAAGGCCACCTGCTCTGACGCGCGTGAATTCAAAATGAAATGCTTGCTTCTCAGCGCAAGCGATGCAAAGGAAAGTCGCTTTGCGCGAACAAATTCGCACAGTGGAAAATGAGTTTTACCTTTAGACAGTTTAATATAAAACAATGTCGATATTAAAACTGGGCCATTAGAGACAAATAAATCACACTGGATACATCAAAAAGTTTCCTTTAATTTACATCATATTTTCCACGGATTATTTTATACCTAACCCCGGGACAATCTTGTACCCTCCCTCCTTCAAACAAGACTACACCGTGTTCCTGTAGGCTTGCCTTCTCCCCGGGGATATAAGCTATGATAGTCTGACCATTGTTAAGTCTTAGTAATGCACATTTTCTATTAGCAGAGTTTGGTTTTTTTGGTTTACGGATGAAGACTTTCACACACACGCCTTTGCGTTGTGGCCCTTTTAGAATATGGCTAACTTTAGCTACCATTGATTTCTGTTTGCGTTTTTTCGTCTTTCGTTTTCCGCGCTGGATTTGATTCAAAGTTGGCAATGTTCGAACGCTTGTCTTGGCTGGAGTTTGAAGGAGTAGAGTAGGTTTCACAGCATACTTTGGGGATATAGTATGATAACTGAGTTGCTTAATGGCTTGATGTTTGCTGGTGAATGATATATTATCTGGAAAAAGAGAAAATACAAAATGAGGGTGTTGTGGTGATATGTGGAAATCTGCTTTGAGAATTGAAGGGAAAATTAATAGTTTATAATAAGACATCAAAAAAATGCAAGCATACCATAATTACGATAAGGGAGTCGACTTTGAATCCTGCAAAGACTGTTGTTTGCCGTATTCCTGACCTAAATTACACAAACAATGCATTGACAAACTAGAATACAACTGTACAATATGAATATAGCACAACAGTCTACCACTACTGGACCAATTTTAGTTTAGATTTATGAAGAAACTTGTGGATAAAAACGCGTGTTTTTACTCACCGTAGAAGAAAAAGATCTATAGTTTTCAACTAGAATGTTTTTGGGTTGAAATATCGAAGAGAACGTGCAAGAAACGCGCAGTATTTGTGGCGAAATCTTAAACAACTTTCGCCAGCAAGCGGCCATGTTGGAAACCGCGTGTGCTGGGGCCTGAGGACGAAGGCAAGATGGCGGCGATGTCGGACGATTTTGAAAATTTTCAAAATATAAATGTTGAAAATATGGAACATAAATTGAAATATTCTGTTTATTCCTGCTCGAGTTTCTCTGCCAATTTTCATCCAGGGTAAGTACATTGTCCTTTTATACTTTTGGTTAAGATATGCTGAATTATAGAGATCGAAACCGTTTGTTTTTTGTAAAAATATTGCTGTGTATTATTAAAAATAAATCTTGTATATTTCAGACTAGAAAGTACATTTAAACCGAAAACTGGCTGTGCGTGAAGTACTAATTCTACTCTTTGATATATAAATTGTGCATATTGTTGTGACAAGTGAAAACAGGCATTTTTGCAGTATTGATAAGTAAAGTGGGAAGCATTAGGGCACATTGCTGCTTAATAATTTAAATGGTTGAATTTTTATTTATCCCTAAGTCCAAGATTACTACATGTAATGAAAATAATTACCCTTATTTACTTAATGTAAATGAAGTAATAGCCCTATTCACATTACAGACGGACAAGTCGTCTAGACGAACATATTGTCCCTCAAAAATTGTATTCACAGACGGACAAATAGTTGAACAAATTCAGACGATTTGTTTGTCTAAAATTTTGTTTGACACATTTTCACATCTGATGATTTGTCCGACTAAAAGACGATTTGTTTGTCTAGATGACTTGTTCGTCTTCTAATGTGAAAACGATTAATCTTTCTTTTATAGTAATATAATGGAGGACAAACCAAATGATCAGAATTCCAGATGGACGTCAGAAACGCACCATCCTACACAGGTTTGCCTTTGTAGTAATAATAGTGACACCAGGTACAAATGCAACAACATCAACAATAAGAAGCATAGCAACAATGACAACAGCAACAAAACACAGCTGTAAACAACAATCTGCATTAGCAACAACAAACAATAGAAACACCAATAACAGCAAACAACAAAAACAACCTGGAACATCAGCAACAATAAACAACCGTAGCGACAAACAACAACAAACAACAGCAGCAGTGAAAAACAAGCAATAACAATAACAAACAGTAATAATAACAACAACAAATAACAACAAACAGCAATAACAAACAATAACAACAAACAACAAAATCAATAACAGCAAAAAACAACAATAACAACAACACTATAAACAGCAAATAACAATAACAAAAACAACAGCAACAAACAACAACAACACAACAACAATAACGACAGACAACAATTAACAACAATAACAACAAACAACAATAACAACAAACAATGACAACAAGCAATAACAACAGCAACAAACAACAATAACAACAACAATAACAACAAACAACAACAAATAACAACAAACATCAATAACAACAAACAACAATAACAAGAAACAATGACAACAACAAGCAATAACAACAGCAACAAACAACAACAACAACAACAACAACAACACAACAATAACAAACAACAATAACAAAAAACAATGACAACAACAAGCAATAACAACAACAACCTACAACAACAACAATGACAACAACAAGCAATAACAACAGCAACCTACAACAACAACAAGTAATGACAACAACAAGCAATAACAACACCAACCTACAACAACAACAATGACAACAACAAGCAATAACAACAGCAACAAGCAATAACAACAGCAACAAACAACAATGACAACAACAAGCAATAACAACACCAACCTACAACAACAACAATGACAACAACAAGCAATAACGAACACCAACCTACAACAACAACAATGACAACAACAAGCAATAACAACAGCAACAAGCAATAACAACAGCAACAAACAACAATGACAACAACAAGCAATAACAACACCAACCTACAACAACAACAATGACAACAACAAGCAATAACGACAGCAACCTACAACAACAACAAGTAATGACAACAACAAGTAATGACAACAACAAGCAATAACAACACCAACCTACAACAACAACAACAACAATTAATGACAACAACAAGCAATAACAACAGCAACCTACAACAACAACAATGACAACAACAAGCAATAACAACAACAATGAAAGCCACCTGAAAGAGAAGATTCATAAAATATTTTCTCATTTCAGTACATAACTCTAAAATTGGAAAAACCAGCAGCAGTGACGAAAATAACATTTGGAAAATATCATCAGAACCATGTTTGTAATTTGAAGAAATTTAAAGTTTATGGCAGTCTACATGACGACCACAACAACATGATAGAACTACTGCAAAGGTAGCATGTATATTCATAGAATATGTCCCCCTCTCAAATAAGTGTCCCTGCCAAATAAGCCCTCACTGTCTGAAGTAAGTCCCCGTCTCAAGTTTACATGCCCCCCTCTGAAATAATCCTCTGTCTTCTCTAAACATATGTTATTAGAAGAATTCTTAACTGAAAATGGTTTTTAACAGATTTATAGAATATTTTAGAACTATATGTTATACCTTAGGTCAAAACTCAAAATTACTTTTTAGATATTTTAGATATTGAATTTCATATTTGTAATTGGATCCTGAAAAGCCCAATTGGGAGTATCTAATATTGTATAATAATAATAATAACAATAATACCCTCCTCTCTAATTACCCCTCCTCTCTAATTACCCCTCCTCTCTAATTACCCCTCCTCTCTAATTACCCCTCCTCTCTAATTACCCCTCCTCTCTAATACCCCTCCTCTCTAATTACCCCGCCTCTCTAATTACTCCTCCTCTCTAATTACTCCTCCTCTCTAATTACCCCTC